CCCCAAAACCCCAAAACCCCATAGAAAACAATAATTCAGAACTCTTAAAATGTAATATTTATTCTTCAAATTTCAATATCAATCAATATAAAGTTTGGTCAGCTTTTAAATATTTAGTATTTCACATAGATCCATAGTTAGCGAATTTACCAATTGAATTAGAAGTTAGCTCATTCTTTTAGGGAGCTCCAAGTCCTAGACTGATGCAATAATTAACTTGACTCTCATTCTTTAGGTTCCCATTAAGTCTCAAATTTGTTGGTGGGATCATCATCATCTATGCTCCTGTTTTACTTAGAGTACTATTCATTGATCCAGAGCCTATTCTTCCACTCTCACCTAGTACTCTTTCTAATAATTGTTTTTTCTCATCTTGCTTTTCTTATATCAGAATCGGCTTCCAGTCAATTCTTTTATTATAAAGTCGGTCAAAGTTGTTTATATCATCAAATTTGACTGGCTTACTTTTATCAACTGAATTTCTCGCTCCAGTATTATTATTGCTATAGGATTGCTATTAACTCAATTAACCTTGACGGCTTTAATAAAGTTGATTTGTAGTGTTATAGTTGCTCTGAGATGTCGTATTTCCAAAGTAGCCTTAAGTTTCAGGAGCTTATTGCTTGAGATTATTATCTACTAGTTGGTACTTTTGGTCATGATAATATTGATTCAACTTCTTATCATCAAAGAAGTTTGCCTTCTTTTTACCTCTGACTTAGTTAAGCTTTTTGGGCTGGGCACCTTCAATATCATCAGGCGCTATGTATCTGTTCTGATCTTTATTAGGTTGTTTCTATTATTCCAAATATTCTTGATATCGAAGATGTCTATCATCACCTGGCATACTATGCAGAGCAACTGAGCTCTTTCCACTCATTCCATTTGACTATCCCATTGGTTAATTAGACTGCCTCCATTACTAGTACATTTCTGAATCTTGCTAATGCTAGGAGTTACCAGGGCCGTAAACAACTTATTTGGCTTATGCTAGGGGTGGTTTAAACAACTTTTTACCTTGTGGATTTTACCCTCCAAGGATCTCATCATACATATCTAAAATGGATTTATGGCTCGAAATCAATATTACCTTATGGGATATCTGTGTATGCAAGAGGATTATCAAGCGATGCTGTTCGTTAATTCTTTATGAAAAGCTCGTAATTAGACATTTTATATTTATATAACAGTACGAATAATCTTAAATTTTGTCTTTAGGGGTTTTGGGGTTTTGGGGAGATCGGAAGA